CGTTGTTCTCCAGGGTGTTGGAGATTATTTAGACAAATAGTGTTAGTTATAAGACAATTGATAAGTGTATTTGGTAATGCTGAAGCTTAAATGAATTTGTTCAAATCTAAACTACCATTTGCTTTAATTTTCCGCCAAAATCTCCGGCGTCTGACGTCAGTTACAACATGAGTCACTTACCTTGTCCGTCACTTCCGTCACTTACTCACCTGCTGCCCCAGTATTATTATTTCTTTAAATCAAATGTCAAAGGCATTTATAGAAGTGGGGTTTTTTTTTTTTGGGGTTTTTTCCCCTTTTTTAGTGTTCAAACCTGATATACAATGTACAGTGTTACTAAATGTGCCCCCCAGGTGTACAAAAAGCAGCAGTAGCTAAATCACCTCAGAAAGCCTCTGGGTACCTTGGGGAAAACATCACATTGCCCTCAGCAGTCGACTCATCGTGGAGTCTCATCAGAATTGAGTGGTCAATATTCACCAACGTCACTTTTATTGCCACTTATCGCAACGGGAAAATAAACACTGAACGTGTCCATCAGTTCACAGGGACACTCACTCTTAACACAAAATCAGGTGTCATTTATCAGCTTTTTTATTGCAAAGGAATTGCAGTTTTATTTCTTTCTTGATTTGGTTTCAGTGTATTTTATTCTATAGGTGACCTAACAATTCACAACCTGAAGCAAAGCGATGCCACTGTAGAAGGGATTCTCAGTTTGAACCAAAAAAAAAATATCTTGACAGTAGATGTTCAATATTGCCTGCTTATTGTTGAAACTACTGCAAATGCTGCTCAAAAAACCACGAGAATATCCCAAGAATTTGATTGTTTTCAGTGGGAGAAAATGTTGGATGAACTGAATAAACCTTTTGGGATTTCCTTACCTGAATGATTGATCATCGTGTAATTATGTGACAGATAGCTGTCATTAGCCATTTTATGAAACTGTCATATTTAGTCATGAAAAGCAAACAAAATTTTACAATTTCTGTATTTAAAAATTCCAACAAAATAACCTGTAAAAATGTCTAAAGATATCAGAGTAGCGGAGTTTTTGAAGCTCAAAGTCACGAGTATTTATAGAAGTTATTTTCCTTCCTTCTTTGAGTGTTTAAATCTGAGAGAATGTGTACAGTGTTGCTAAATGTGTTTTTGTATTTATTTGACAGCATTACAAGTTGTACAGACAGAAGCAGTAGATAAATCACCTCCAAAAGTCTCTGGGTACCTTGGAGAGAGCATCACATTGCCCTCAGCAGTCGACTCATCGTGGAGTCTCATCAGAATTGAGTGGTCAATATTCACCAACAACACTTTGATTGCCACTTATCGCAACGGGAAAATAAACACTGAACGTGTCCCTCAGTACACTGGGAGACTCACTCTTAACACAATATCAGGTGACATTTATCAGCTTTTTTATTGCAAAGGAATTGTAGTTTTATGTTTTTCTTGATTTGGTTTCAATGTATTTTATTCTATAGGTGACCTAACAATTCACAAACTGAAGGAACGTGATGCCATTGAATACACTGTAGAAGTCCACAACAGTGATGGTGAAGACAAAGTAAATCAGATTAAACTCACAGCAAAACGTAAGTGATGTATAAATAAAACTGTAATAAAAATAAAAAAGGACACACACACACAAACCATTATCACAAACAAACTTGCCTTTATTTTGAATGCATACATGCTGCATAAATATAAAAATTTGCCATCTACAATCAAATATACTGCTTGGTTTTAAATTAAGCTACACAGGCTTGTCTTTACTTTTTGTGAATTTCTCATTTTTACTCTCCATCCTTGCAGAAAAGCTCCAGCAGCCATCCATCCAGATAGTCATGAGCACATCTGTAGAAAGTGGCTGTTTAATGGTGGTGACCTGCTCTTCTCTGGATAAGGGTGTTAACCTCTCCTGGGGTGTTGAACCAGCCAGTGTGCTCACTATCAACAAGAGTAATCCCAGTGACAGCTCTGCACAGCTTTTTGCATTTGTCAACACCAAAGAGAACTTTGCCAGTTTTACCTGCATCTCCAGCAGAGATACAGAGAGTGTTTCATCCAAACCTGTCACACCAAAGTGTGAGAGTAAGATCTGTGGTAAGTTGTTGAATGGGACACTTTCTGTGACATACAAGCACAGCATTAGCTGAGATGATGATTAAACAAAAGCTGTGTGATCCAGTATTTGATGCTGTAAATGGTAAATGGCCTGTATTTGTATAGCGCTTTACTTGGTCCCTAAGGACCCCAAAGCGCTTTACACATCCAGTCATCCCCCCATTCACACACTGGTAATGGTAAGCTACATTGTAGCCACAGCCGCCCTAGGGCGCACTGACAGAGGCGAGGCTGCCGGACACTGGCGCCACTGGGCCCTCTGACCACCACCAGTAGGCAATGGGTAAGTGTCTTGCCCAAGGACACAACGACCGAGACTGTCCGAGCTGGGGCTCGAACCGGCAACCTGTAATCAGTGCATCTTTGAAACACTTTATTAGTCTGCAATGAGTTTCTGCAGCAGGTCACAATTTTAAGATGAACTTTAATAGTAATTGGGCAGTGTTGCCTCTAATTTTTCATGTGTCTGAGCAAACACATAAACTCTCTGAGCGGTCCCTTGGACCAATGTGAACAACATCAGTCATGCCAGCATCGAATTCATTCAAGTTACATCATTTATTAAAATAATCAAATGACAGGATTTACATTTATGTTAGAATACTTTTAATTAAGTGGTTTAGCCCACTTACGATGAAATTAAAAAAAAAGTCTTGTTCATGACCTTTGTAGTATGTTAACACTATTGGAAGTAAAACTAACTTGAGCACCAATTTTGACTTGTATTATGAGTATGACTGTGTGTTTCAAGCTCTTGCTGTGAGCTAACCCCCTGATTGTGAGGAAGTCCTGTAACTCTTTGTCTGCAAAATACAGTATATAATGACCAATTCTGGGCAAATTAGTTTGAAAGTAATTAATAATAGTTACTAATTCCTTCTTCAAAAAAGTAACTGAGTTTTGTGCAGCTATTTATCTAAAAATGCAGCCAAGGCGGTTTTTTAAATAAACATTTCAAACTATTTACAGAACAATCAGGTGTTCTGCATCAAATAAAATGCCACACAAATTATTTGTGCCAATCCAAAGAATAATTTCTGTCCACTATAAGATAAAGGAGCACATAACAAGCCTGATACCTGCAGGCCTGACAGAAGGAGGTATATCACCACCTATAGGCAGCGTTTACACTGTAATCTGCCTTTGGTGGCTTTTTGGCAGCAACTGTGACATTCAGCAGTCACCTTAATTTTTCTGTCTGTCCTGTTCAGATCTCCAATGGTTGCACACGTTAGCCTGTCTTCACTCCACATCGGCCACACTGCTTTGCTAGCTAAAACACTGGTGATGGCACATAGGGACGCTGTCATGGCCTGTCAACATTGATTACCTGCTTAAATACGAATGTGAATCGCATCATTGGCTGGAGCAGTCAGGCACAGGTCACTCACACTGCAAAACAGCACAGAATGAATTGTTATGTATTTATTTTTATTTCAATTCAGGTTGGATTTTTTTTTTTTGTGCACAGCACAGATTTTCTGTGCATGGAGACCATGTCACCTATGCACGATTGCACATGTGCGCAGCTTAGTTCTTCTACATTAAAGTCTGTTCCACAGCATAGGTAGGGGAGGATTGTGTTGAGAGCTTTCATTAGACAATACAATCTAAGGATGAAAATGAACAAACGGGCTACTTTAAGGCTGGTACGCAGGAGCTCTTCAATTGACCCATGAGCCCAAATGATCTTATTGGAAATGGTTAAACATGAATAGTCATGTAAAATGTGGAGTCTAGAGAATCAGAGAATGTGAACCAAGGAGGGGAGAGAAGGTGGGATTATGAATGTGAAACAACCACTTTCAGCAAATCTCCAAATCAACAATAAATTCACAATAGTTTTGTAGCAATTCTATAAATAACACTGCAAGTAGTAATTCAGCTCTGAATGCAATAATGTGAATTCTGAATCAGCCTCAGGTACAAATGTGAACTCTGCGGACACTGGACACATTGGCTGCAGAGGGGCAGACAAGGGGCGATCGTGGCTCAAGAGTTGGCAGTTCGAGCCCTGGCTCAGACAGTCTCGGTCATTGTGTCCGTGGGCAAGACACTTCACCCGTTGCCTACTGGTGTTGGCCAGAGGGGCCGATAGCGTGATATGGCAGCCTCACTCCTGTCAGTCTTCCCCAGGGCAGCTGTGGCTACAACTGTAGCTTGTCTCCGCCAGTATGTGAATGTGAGAGAGAATGAATAGTGGAATTCTAAAGCGCTTTGAGGGTCTCGAAAAGTGCTATATAAATTCAATCCATTATTATTATTAGTAGTAATCAGATTAAATGTGGAGTAAAATGTGTGATACTGTCCTTAAAGTTTCAGTTTTTTGAAACTGATGAGCTGAATCACTTTTTATACGATTGGGCTTTAGTTATGTTCTGTTGCTGTTGTGGTGTCTAAATAAAATAATGAGCCTCTTAAATTTCAAACACATGCAGCTAAAATGTGAGAAACTGTAAGTTTCCCTGATAAGATCAGTTCTTAAAGTGTGATTAAAGAATGAAAGTGTAAAAGGTAAGAAAGCATCATCACATCTTTGGCACCATTATTTCTTTGTTTTTCACTTTTGAAGTCGTATTTGTTCTAATTTTGTTTCAGGTCCATAAAAAGATTATTTCAACAAAACTCAAGACTCACGAACAACATCAACAACAAAATCTAACTCAGAACATTTTGACAATGTTTAGAGACCTGCCAGCATCCAGATCAACAGCAGTTATATTAAACAATGACATGCTCTTGGTTTAATGTCAGCACCGGAAGACTGATAATATGGTTCATCTTTGTATTAAAATCTTATTGTGTTCATTTGTTTGTAGTAAGTGGAGGTTGTATGGTGTGGGACATTGTTTCATCGAGACATAATTTCAATATTTTATTATACAAGTTTTATTCAGTCTCTTTTTTTATTTCTTTAACATGTTCCTTCACTTTTTTTCAAAATTTTTATATGTTATCTCTACAGCTTACTGGACATGCTTATTTTTCATTTCAGTAAAAAAAAAACTGTTAAAAATGTTCAGATACAACACTTCATGCCAAATCATGATACAGAATTTACAGATTCAAGTCAGAGACCATGGGAGAGAAAATTTTGTGTACAATCAAAGTGATTGTTTTCTGTAGGTGATGTTTGTGGTTTTTCTATACTGTGTACGGTTTAATGTGTGTAAAATAATTGTGGTCCTTTTAAAAAAGTAACATTTTCTTCAAAATAATGTTACATCACGCGTTTTTGTTCCTTCGAGTGACCTTTGATGCTCATATATGTATAAAAAATCTTGTTTCTAACTGTTAGCAATATGCTATTTATTAAACATCAGAAAATGACTCATGATTTCTGGCTGAGTCCCCAGAAAAGAGGAATTGCAGCCTGTGGTTGAAGAGAAAAATGTTTTGTTCAGTAATTGGCTTATTTTAGCAAAGAGGCAACAAGAAATGCAGACAATAACAGCACAGTGGTGTTCTCTTGACAACTACATGCTGAAATGGTCAAATATTAATATAAAGTATTTCCTTAGTTGAAGGGATAAAAAGGGGCAGGTGTGCCCCTGTAGCACTGCATCTGTTCTCTGTGTGGACTGCAAATTGTTATATGATCTGCCTGTACTAGGAAAAATACCACACTGTAAGAACTGATGAAAACTCTCCTTTAGATAAATATCAGCATATAGTTGTCAAGAGAAGCTTTGAAGAGTGTGTTTCTCACACTGATAACCAGCTGTTTTTGTGATTATTTATGATGTTCATTTAGTTGTTCTTTTTTTCACTTCATTGCTACCCGACATCTTGCTAACAGAATATTTTAAGTCATCTATTCTCCACATCAGAGAGACATCAGTGTTCAAGGTAGTTCCTTGTCCCATATTTCCCATGTCAAACTCTGATCACAGCTTCCAAGTACAGTCGATGGACTGTGTTTACATCTGGTGGCCAATAGAGGGAGACATTAATCCATTTATAATTTATTTTAAGGCATGAGAAGATGTTGATATAAATGAAGAATGGAGAGAACAGAAAGATGATGATATTGACTTTGGACCCTATCATGAAAATAATCAGGCCCTGGATGGATGTTAGTGTGATCAAAGCATTAATATTGTTTCATGGGCGGATCGATCCAAATATCGATAATTGTGATACCAACATTTGTATCAATGTTGATCAATACGAGTGTAATGAGCTGGATACTTCAGTTTCTGTTCTCCTGCATGCACTGCTGCATTTTCATCAAAGAGGCAACCTGGCTGTCTGTGTAAATGCTGCTGCTTTCAGGTGTCACAGAGCAGCCTCAGTTTGCTTCTCCTCTCTTGTATTTTATTTTTTACTGTCACCTGACTCAGCAATGCCAGGCAAACAAGTAAGCAACCGTTCTCCGATAACCAGGCCCCCCCAACAGTGCAGTAAGCAGAGAATATCCAGGTAGAGAACTGTGGTAATAGTGATAGTAATATTTTAGTTATATTACTTTAATTTTCAAAATGGAACTGGCTAATACTTACTTTAGCCAACTCATAAAGTCTCAATTATGCTAAGACCTTGATATAATACATTGATCTCACTGAAACATTTAAATGAAAACAATTACAGGAATTGAAACAAACATACCAAATATAGTAAGGCTCTGATTTCTTTCAATATAATTACCCAGTTGTGCTAAATGTGAAAGGGATACTGTATGATTACTGTAGTTAAAATACTATTAGATGTGCTAGATTATTGTCCTTGTCTAGTCTCGTGTTTTTTGTATTACTTTTCCCTGGAACATTCTCTCACAGTCTGTTCTCTAAAACCTAAAAGAGGAATTATGGATTGGATCAACTGGTCCCTAAATGCAATTGACACCCCTTTCTCAATGAGAAGTTTGGGCTTGGGTGAGCCTGAGTGCTGAAGATATCTACCTATTTGGAACCTGACTTATCGAAGAATTAAGAAAGCGGAACCGGCTGTTCAAACCCCCACAAAGCTGCCCGCTGGGATTGGAAAGATGGGAGAGGCATGAGTTTCTCAAAATGGGATCATTGAGTCAGCATGGATAAGATCTTGGAGAGGCTACGGCTGACTGGATACATCTCGGAAGGGCTAGCCCGGAATAACATTTCTGGGCGCAAATTGGATGACATCTCGGGGAGGCACACTGCCGTGAGTTCTCAGAATCGGCTCCTTGAGCACAAGAAATGACAACATCACAGAACGCAAGTATGGCGAAGCTCGCGG